TTATTGAAGGGAGGATACCTTACAGGTCACTGCTTTGAAACTTTTGTTCTGGGAGGGAAATTACAGGATTGTTTTATGTGTCCAACTCAGCCGTGACAATGCTACAGTCCAGAGACGAGTTTCTTTAGTTCACAGGTTCGGAGGCAAGGAATCAATAATGCCGCCAATACTGTTTTTAAAAGATTTCCTCCACTTTCCTCCCTCTGTTTAATTTTTTTTTTTTTTACTTTATAAAACTGCTAAAGGATTTGCTCATTTGGTAGTACCAATTGGAAACCTGAATTAGAGAGGCCCCAGACTGAAGTTTATCTCCGTGTTAATAAATCTCTCAACAATTGGGAAGAAACTAAGTTCTGCCGCCATCTCTCTGTCTATTTCCACATTGATCAAGACATCAGTTTCTATCCTTTCTGTCTAGTAGGAGAAAGAGGTAGTTAGTTTCTCGAGGTGTGGGGGTGGGGTGGGGAAAACATCTGCTTTTTGCTGCACAGTTGGATTTTATCTGTCTGATTAAGATAACCAGTGTCTTATCTCGAGCCTTACTCTTGTCATTCTGCTGATGCTCCTCACAGTGCTTGGAAACGTAGAAATGTTTAAAGAATGTTCCACTACTAAAGTAGAAGAAAATTAAGGGAAACCCCAGAGAAAAAGTAATCTCAAGACTTTGAGGGCTCCTATTAAACTATGGGATTTAAAAGATGGTGCGTTTCCTGTTCTTTGCTGCTGGAGACACATGGGGTGGGAGTTGCTGCAAAATGTGCAAGCTAGGATCTCTATTTCTGTAGAATCAAGAATCTGGTAGGAGTGCGTTTTTAGCATCCTATCTTAAGCACACAAAATCACGACCAGATTTAAACAGTTTTCCAGATCCAAGGGAGAAGATGAGTGCTTTCAGGTCCTGACTCCAATACTGAAGGGCTCAAGCTAGCAGGGAAATGATGCTCCCCGGTAAAATCAGGAAAGGACAGAAACCTGAAAGTTTAGAGAAAAATTCTCCCAAACTGCCCCAGACCATCTTCCATAGCCTGTCCCCAGCTCCGGTCTCCCTGTGAAGTAGAAAACTGACCAGTCTATTTCCACATCAAGAACACCACAGGAAAGGTAAGGTTCTGGTTTCACAGGTTAGAGCCATTCACCTGCTCCCTATGCCCTCCCTAAGGTCGGTCTCCCAGCAGCCCCCTCACTTCTGGAAAACATTAAACCTTGAACCAAAGTCTGGTGATCAGAACAAGGTCCCATGTTTGTTTTAATTAAAGGAAGAAGGCAGCATGATAGGTGGTCGGGATCCATTACGGAGATGGAGGGATTTTCCTATGTGAGTTTCAGAGTGAAGAAGGGACACTGCCCTGAGATTACCTGAGCGGGTCCTAAACCGATGCCCCTGGCAAGATTTGCAATTTTTTGAGTGTCAGGCAGGGCCTGAGTGTAAAAGAAAAGAGTGCTGGCCCCTCTTTGTGGAGTCTGGATTTATCTTCCCTAGGTCTGTTCGCTCCCTATTTCCACAAACGTTTAAGGGTTGCCAGGTTCTTTGAAGGGGTGGTGTAGTCCCCACAGGCATAGATACCCTCCTCTCCAGAACGTCTTAACACCAGAGCCCCACCTGCTTCTGGGACCAGGTGAGGGAAACACAGCCTGGAGTAGTGGTATCCAGACTGACAATTCCCTCAAGATTCAGCTCGAGCTGCAAACCTGGAGCTGGAGTCTGAGGCGGTGCTCCGGTGCCAGAAAGAGTTCCTGAAGTCTGGGGGCCAGGTTTCCTCAGAGACAAAACAGCTCCACTGCCAAGAGCCTGCAGAGGCCGCAGTGTCCTGGGGATGGTCTCACTGAAAACCCTCAAAGACTAGGCAGCTCCATAGCCAAGAACTAGGGAGATTGGGAATGCTCCTCAGGCCCACAAAGCACTCTAGAGGCTCTCAGGAGAGGTGATGCCCCTACCAAGGGCCCCTCCTTGAGCCTAGGTCTTCCAGAGCAAGACCTACCAGAGCTTTCTGTGGATGCTGTTTCTTCCACTTTACCCCTCTCCTCTTTCCCTACTGTCTCTCCTTCCACTCTTTCCCTCTCCCCACCTCTGCGTTCCCCAACTTCCTTCCTCCCTAAAGTTGGTGAGTGGAGGTACAGCAGATCACAAGTCTAGGACCACCAGGGTGAGAGCCTGGACCAGGTGCTTTCTTTTGGTATTTTCCTTTTCTGGGTGAGGTAATCTGACAGTAGACTCAAGCCTGGGGCACAGGCAGCCCTAGGACAAGAGAGAAAGGGCTGTTATAAAGGATTGTCTGCCAGCGCGCTGAGAGTCACGACTCAACTTCTGTGTAGAGTCCTGATGTGGAGACTGGCCTGCTCTGCCAGTTCGGGTGCCCACTAGCCACAGAGATGAGGAGCTGGAAAGCCTTTGAGCTTCCAACCTGAAAGACAGCCTTTGGGGACAGTTGGGCCGTTGTCTCACAGGCAGGTGGGAAGAGGAGTCTCTCAAAAGTGAAGTCTCTTCGTGGGAAATGGAAGACACAGAAAAATCTGTGTCTAAACTAATGTTCCTGGAACTTACACCTGTATGGAATGGGCTTTGCATTTTGTTCTGTGGGTGCCAGGATTCTGTGGAAGTAGGAAGGAGACAATTTGAGGATATGCGGGAGCCTCCTGTTCTTGGAGCTAGGAAATGTTGGCTTCACCAGCACAGGTGGATCTTTTGAGAGAAGTAAGTCCAAAGCCTCAGAGTTGGGGCTGGTGTGGGGTGTGAGTCTCTTGAGAACAATGATCTGGTGCAGGCCTGGTGACTAAAGCTAACCTTACTTTCACTTTCCTCTGGGGACTTAAGTTCTCAGTCAGTGGACATGGAAGGCTCCAAGAAGTTTTTCAGGTGGATTGTATTCCCTCCTTCAGTGCAAAGTAACATCTAATCAGAAATGGAAGTATCCTGGTTGTGTTTTTAGATTGAATTTAAAAGTACTTTAAACGAGTAAACTTCTGAGGAAGTTATGAACTCATGATTGAAACAGCCCTCCTAGCAAGAACTGTTATTACCTCCCCGTCAATGTGGTGGTGTGAATTTGAAATTTTAACAGGAAAAATTGTAAACAAAGGTCAATCTATACACTCACACCCAGGGACCAGTCAAAACACCACACATACCCAACTTTATGAAAGAGGGTACTGGCAATATTTTCTCCTTTTCAATAAATCCAGAAACCTGAGTCCTCGATGGCTTTCATCCATGCTGCTGTCATGTTTTAAGAATGTTTTGTCTCTTGGACTGCAGAAGAAAGTTTTTATGGCTGGGAAAAGAGCTTGGGATATTTGTAAGATCTCCTCTATATGGGTTGGTCTATGTGAGTTAGGATTGTCTATTTTCTATTCCAGTGAATAGCTGAAAGTAAGTGTAGCGTCCTGCATTTTAGATTCCTTTTGCTTCAGCTTTCCTCAGAAAGTGGAGCTTAGAGCCCATTAAGTGGATCGCTGAAGACAACTAGGGAAACTCAAGGCAAAAACCTGAGCAGCTCACCAGCTCCAGTGCACCAGCCCTCCTCCTTCTCCAGAGAGGGGTGGTGGTGGGGGATAAGAGCTTGGCTTTATTCCCCTCCACCCTCTAATTAAGTCTGGAATCTTAGAGAAGAATCTGGAATTCTTAGAGAAGAATCTCACCCTGAGGTTTAGGTCTTCCCCAGGACCAGAATTGTGGCAACAGACTAGAGACTCAGGAGTAAGTTGCCTTCCTGATTGATGAAACTGTCCCTCCTCTCCCCTCCCTTTTTTGAATAATAAACTCCAGCAAAGGCTGGAGGGCTGCCTTGTGTGTTCGTTTCAAATAAATCCTCAACAGGCGCTTTCCTCACTCAGAGAAATGAATCACACTTGGGAAACAGACGATTATTCTTCCATTTGTCTGACTACAAGCAGAGGAAAAAGCAGCCTTCCTTGAGGACTGTACTTTAGAATTCCTCCCTAAGATGTGTGTGGCAAGTGGATACAGGGAGAGTGGGAGCAGGCAGATAGAAGAGGGATAGAGGTGACTCAATAATGTTGAGGGTTTTAGGCAGTTATTTCAGACCTAGCAGGGGAGGGCAAGGGTTCTCTAGAGTCACTCTTCTGCTTGAATTCTAAAAGAGACCCAGGGCCTCACTGCCTGGAAGGTGATATTATATTTTCTGACATAGAAGCCAATTCTGGGTTGGGTTTTTTTTTTTCTGGGAGACACAGTGGCCCTGGGCCCCACACTGCCATTACACTGTCACCATAGCTCCGTTTCTTGTCTTCTTTCAACAAAACCATGGTCCGGCTGAAGCTGGATCACTCTCCTTTATTCAGAAAGAATTCTGAGTGTTTCCACTTCAGACATGGGTGGTGAGAATGAAAAACAAAATGGAACTAATAAAAATGACCACGTGTTAACCCATATTTAATCTCACGGTGTCCAAGAACTTTGAGCTAATCACCACAGCAATCATCTAAGAAATAAAACAAGGAAGAATTCCTACTAAGCACCCTTGGAATGCTCAGGCTTGAGTGTCATTCTCCGGAGCTCACTTACAAAGCAGATGTGGGCTTCCTTTCTTTTCCTGGCAGGCAGGCTAGGTGAGTGTTGCTTAACTTGTTACATTTTTGAAACTTACTGGATTGACAAACACACACAGGATAAAAAGGCCATTTGAAAGGCAAAAAGAAGTTAACTTAACTGCTTCTCTCTTGTCACCATGGGGCATCTCACTTCCTGCCACCTGGAGCTTCCAGATTCTATTTTCGATTTTTAATTTTTGAGTCTATGAGGATCTAGTTGCTGCAGAGAAATAAGGATCTCAAACAGGAAAGGAGTGCATATACAGACAATGCCCCATTAGAAGGACATTTAGGTTTGATGATTAGTGTCAACTTATCCTTCTTCTTTACTTAAAAATGACCAGAGAAAAGCCTTCAAAATCCCCCACCCATATCCAGACCGTTTACTGGGTCAATGTGTTTCTTATCCAACAATCATAGGTTAAAAATTTAAGCAAAGGCAAATACCGGATTTAAAGGTTCTTTTTTATTTGAAATCTCATCCAGAAACACTGGTTATTAATAAATATATCATACTTATCAAGAATATATAAAAAATAAAGACAGGTATTGTCTTTGAGGCCCTAACAAAATATTTCAGGCAAATGTTCAGGAAAATAAAAGTGGCAGCCCCCCACCCCCAAACATAGTATGTTTTCAAAGCTGAGGGATAACAGACAGAGCCAACCCCGCATGCAGAATTATTTGGCAAGGGGGTAGGATGAACTTCTAGAAGAGGCCCAGTTTTGTAGCGGAGCCCCTTGGAACAACCCTAAAGTTGGAATGACATTTGAGGGACAGGGACAGACATGGGCTTGGGGAAAGAATCACATGTTCATTGAGTGTGAATCTTTGCGTTCTGGCCCCCTTTTCATTTCATTACAACCACAGACAGATGTATGGAGTACTTTGGAGATTTTACTAATAAATCCTTGTTACAAGGAAAATGGCACTATAGCCCGCACATGTTTACATAAGATTCACTTAGAAGCGTGCATGCATTCTTTTGACCTATATTGTGTGGAATGAAAAACCCACATAAGAGGTTCATGCCCTGGGCTGAGATTCAAAAGTTGGATTCTGAATTTCTCTTCTCTCTCTCTCTCTCTCTCTCTCTCTCTGTCTCTCTCTCTGTCTCTCTCTCTCTCTCTCTCTCTCTCTCTCTCTCTCTCTCTCTCTCTCTCCATTGTCTCTAAAAAAAACTATAAGGGCAGAGACAATCATAACTGCACCTAGCTCGATGAAATATTTACATTTGCTTTGCACAAAGGGATGGCCATCTTCCCTCCAAGATAAGAACACAGCCAGAAAACGCCAACTCCGAAGTTCCTTTGCAAGTTTTTAACTCCACCTATCCATCCCATCTTTAAACAACAAAATGCAGTTTTGACAAGAGCATATGGCAGTGAGAAATACTGGGGCTGCATGAGGAAAAGAAGCTTGCATGCAAAACAGAACGTCGGGTTCCAGTCCCCTTCACTAACACCTAGGTATTCCAGTTTGGTTTTGGTACGTCCCGCTGGGGTGGGTCAGGTGGAATCTGGATCTCTAGGGCGCTGGCGAGGACTCGGGGCCGCGCGCCCACCCTCCCGCAGGCCGAGCAGTCTCCCCTTCCCTCCTGGCCCCCGCACTGCGACCCCTGCCTCAGCTTTCCCTTCCTCCTCCCGACCGGGCCAGCCCGTGGCTCACTTGAGCAAGTCCTTGGATTCGGCCGAAAGCCGGGCCATGTTGGCGGTGGAGAGAGCGGACAGGTGCGGTGGTGGCGGCATCTGGCAGATGGTGCAGGGACAGGGCAGCCCCGCCCAGTGCTGGAAGCCGCTGCCCAGCTGTAGTGCGGGCGGCGTAGAGGGCGCCTTGAGGAGTGAGTGCGGAGGTCGGATGGTGCCAATGGTCGGCAGGGAGGCGGCGGACAGTGGGGACGAGGCATTGCCAGAGGAGAGCGCGCCGCCCAGGATCGGATGCACCGGGTGCACGGCGTTGGCCGCGTGTGCCGGGTGGCCGGCCGAATGCCCCACAGTCCCACAGTGGAAGGCCGAGTGGTGTCCCCCGTAGATCTCGCCAACCAACCTCTTCATCTCCTCCAGGGAGCTGGTGAGCATGAGGATGTAGTTTCTGGCTAGCAGCAGTGTGGCGATCTTGGAGAGCTTGCGCACCGAGGGCCCGTGCGCATAGGGCATGACCTCGCGCAGACCATCCATGGCGAGGTTCAGGTCGTGCATCCTCTTGCGTTCGCGTCCGTTGATCTTCAGCCGCAACTGCTGAAGATCCTGCTCCGACAGCTGCTTCTTGATTTTGTACTTGCTGCTTTCTCCTGCAGCCTTGGCGCCTGCCCGCGAAAGGCTTTCCCCAGGCATCTTCTGCACCATATCGCCCTGTGTGGATGAGACCGAGTTAAGACGGCTCTCCTGGTGGTGGTGGTGGTGGCGGTGATGGTGGTCTCTTAGGTACATTTCATCCATGTCCGGAGATGACGCTCTGCTGGAAACAGAACTCGAATCAGAATTCATTTTATTACAGGAGATGTGGCCTTATGGTTGAGGAGGCTTTAGGCGGGAAATTAAAGAGAATCTTGAATTTAAAAAGAAAAAAAGTTGCAAGGTCCAGGAACCCACTTCCAAGTTGTAAGACGGGAGAAGCAAAGTCAAGGCACTGCCTTGCCCCGCCTTTCTCTCTCCCGGTTCCCCTCGCTATCTCTCTCTGGTTTAGCTGTTTCCCGCACTGCGCATTGGTGTGTGCCTGAACTAACCTCTTGCTGTAAAAGAGGGGCTTTTATAGCTCCGCAGCGGAGAAAAGAGACAAAAGGAGCCCTCCTATCTATCCTGGGCTAGTTAAGATGACGTGCCATCATTCAGGGCGGTGCGCTTTGCTGTCCCAGTTAGCAAGGATTCCTATTCATATTCATTGTGGGGCCGCCCTGGGACACCTCTGCTTGGAACCAAAAGGAGCCCCCAGGCACAAAACCCTTTGATTGACACACTCACCGCGGCCGCTCCGGACTTCTTGTTTTTGTTGTTGTTTTGTTCTTTAAAAACTTTCTTCTATGCCACTTCCCTTATTCTATTTTCTCTAACCACATCTTACACTTAAAATGAAGGGAAGGAACAGAAGTTGCCTGGAAGATTGGCCTACGTTTCTTTGGACTGGAAGAGAAGATTTGAGCTCTTCTCTAGTTTACGGAAATACTGGCAAAAACAGGTCTCAATAGAAAACCGTAAGGGAGACAGGAGCCAAAGCGGGGCAGGTTCACCCGGGGAAACCTGGAACTGGAGGCTTTGCTGACTGAAGTTTTTACTCACTGGTACTTTTTCTCTAAACACAGTTCATGTCCTCTAAATTCAGTTAATTTTGTTTATTTTAGCCTTTACGGTAATTTCAAAAATATGTGTCTAGTTGGCAATGAGTTTTGCCTTTGATACTATTGTGGTGGGGAAGTCTCTTCTATTTCTTCCTTTGCGTTAAAAATAGGTAATTGAAATAATTTTGGTTTTGTACATTTCTTTAACTTCTTAGCTGTAGAATGAAGGGAGGAGAGACAAAACCCCCAATGTTGTATGAAAACTTAAGAAGAAAACTTAGGAAGGGAAACGACTGAAGAGAAATGGGGGAGTTAGAGATTGAAACGATTCTCAAGCGCTCAATACAGATCTTTGGGCTTCAAGCTTCCCGGTTGGGGTAGCCAACCCTCTTCTTAGCCTCAAGTTCCACTGTGTGTGTTAGGAATGGGGTGAAGGCTCTCTTTGGCCTCAGGGCGAAAGCTGAGGGCATCCAGAGCTTAGCAGCAGACCACCTGGAACGGCAGCTGAGCGGAGCAGTAGTTGAGGGTAAAATAAAAAGCAACGGTGTGTGTGTGTGTGTGTGTGTGTTCCCACAGGACCTGGAGATACCCATGTGTGGCTTCTAAGGATAAACAGGGGACCTAGAGTTTGCTGTGTTCGATAGAAGGGAGTGCATAAATGGACACAGACATCCCCCTTATTCCTCTTCCATGTTTTTGTCAATTAAAAACTGCCCTGTAGCACGAGAAGCAGGAACACAGAAATCCCTAGAAAGAAAGGAGTCTTGGGCAAGAGTAGCCTCTAGAAGCAGCTGGGTACCCCATCTTTCCCCACTTGAAAATTCCAGGAACAAAAGCTAAGTTAAAGAAATGTCTCTATAGAAAGCAAAGACGCGGCTTGCCTCGCAGTCACTGGGAAAATCAGAAAAAGGAGGCTTCACTTCCTACAAAGGCAAATCAGACAGTCAGCAGAGGGTATCCCCACACAGGGAGTTTATGCACCCTTAAGAGGTCGTGCCTACTGACACACAGTCATCAGTGAAACTCTCTCTAGCAGCAAGATACAGAGACTGGACATTGGAGTGAATACTTCCTCACACTGACCTAGTTTAAAAGAAATGACATGGTCAACAGACCCTCAACAAGGACAGGGCTCTAAAGCCCTGGGAGACTGGACTCAAGAATCTTCTATTGCTCACACTTCCTTGGAAGGAAAGTTCCTTAAAAGGAGACTCCAAGAGCTTTCCCCTAGGGTGGAAAGATTAATATCCCAAAGCACTTCTAATTTCAGAGCTAAAGGAAGCTCTCCTAAGCCGTCAGACTGCTCCATTTTTGTTAAGTACCTGGCACCTTAAACGCGGTTTATAATCAAAGTGGTTGTCCAACAATAGTGGTTCGAGGTGGTAGCCACAAACCTGGGGAAGTGGTGCAGCTGGGAAGAAAGCCTTTTAAAGCTCAGATGACTATCAAGGGACTGAGGGGGCGTTCCTGAAGAACAGCGATTTCCAAGCCGGAATGCTTGTGGTCTGTCCCTGCAATCTCAGGAACCACCGTCCGAACTTTGCGTCTTTGTGTCCTGTTCTCAGGCCTAAACTGAAAACGCTGCGCTGGGTTTCTGTTTCGAAGAAGCAAAGTCTACTAAGATCACAAGAGATTCGAATGCAGGGGTAAAACATAGTCATGCAGCATGCATTAACTTTTGAAAACTTCCAATTGTCTCAGTGGACAGTTTAAAATAAAGTTCAAAGTGTCTTCATGTTAGTCAAGAAGGTCAAGGAATAAAATAGGAGAGGGACTAATAACCCACTTTCGGGACTGGAAAGATCAGGACTCTCTGTTTTTGGTTAGGATTCTGGGAACCCTAACCCAAAACGAGTATGACAGAAGTCACTTAGCAAGGGCGGCTGCACTAGGCTAGAAAGCGCCTGCGGACGTTGCCGGAACAAACAGACCACAGCGGGACACAGGATACTTGGCTCCAGTAAACCTCGCAGTGCCTGAACTGGAGCTGGGAGTGGGGGTCGGAATGTTAGGTGTTCTGCTGGGCAATAAATGCCAGATGCAATGCCTTGTGCTCCTTGCCTTCTCGTGATAGGCTTTGTATATCCCAATGCGGCATCTAAGTGCAGAGTAGTCCACGGTCCAGGGTCCCACCCAGATAAACACTTTGGTAAAGGTTTTTAGGAGTCCCAGAGTCTCATGGTTGGCTAGTTCCCCTTTTTCTTCTTTCTGACGGGTTATCAGCTAGGAGAGGATGCCGGAATAAAAATGCCACCACTTCGTTCGCCATAAAATGGACCAGTACTTTCTGGGGTCCAAGAAGTGGAGACCCTACTTGCGACTGGTCTCTCTGGATTGTTTTAGATCCTGCGAATTCACGGACATCTGCCGCTCAAGCCCTGCTCGAAAGTCCCGAACACAGGAATCAGTTCTGATACTCAGAACCCGCGCACGAATTTCAGGGTGACCTGCTATCCATCGCTCACTCCCTGTGCCTAAAGGTGACAGTAAGGGAGACTCTTTTGGGCTAATGCTGCTGCAGCCTAAGGGGATTCAGCTGGAGAGGCCTGTTGACCAGCACGGTGACCTTGGCCCTGGCGGTGGGCGGATTCAGAGGGCTAGGATGGATGAGAAGAGCAAGTTAGCGCAGCAGCGGCAGCAGCAGGGGCGGCAACCTGATTGGGATGGGCTTTTAGGACGACACCCGGTTGCCCTAGCGGCAGCAAAGGGCTGAGGCTTCTTGACCCGGGTCTGTCTCGCAACAGGTGCATCCCTAGACTTAGAGATGTTGGCGACTGAACTCCCTAGTCCATATTAGCTTCGGGAAGGGCATGGGAGTTCCGGAGCCTACCTATGTCTGAAACAGTGGGTTGGCCCGGGGACTGTCAACTGAGAGTTGCTCAGAGGTCTCTGGGCATCTAGTGTGCACAGCCTCAGCTCTGCAGCCTCTGGCTGGGTAGCTCTGAGTTCCCAGGGACCATGAACTCCAGGGGATATTCAGCCCTATCGGTGCCTCCCGGTCCCCAGGATTGCCAAAGACTGTTTCTTACCAGATACCCAGTGCGTGCCACCTGGTGCCTGATGCCCACTGCTCGGTAGCTGCAGCAACTGAGTTCCTCTTCTGCATCTGTCGGCTCAGTCCGAGGCCCGCTGAGATTTTTGCCTGAGCAGCGAACCCTCAACCTCCCCCACCCCCACCCTCACAGCCTGCCAGAGTCCTGCAGAAAACCAAGCCACTGCTGACCTACAGGAAGGCAGCTATGAGGGGCAGGTCAATCAGCGTTCAGGGGCTATTTCTTACCAAGCTTCAAACTTGACCGCCAGAAACTTTGGCTGAGATCGAAAAGCAAAGGACTTTCCAAAATAAAACGGGGGTGTAGGTCAGTAAGTGGTGGAGAGGAGAAAAAAACTAAATATTTTCAAACGTGGCCCTCTCCATCAGCCGGGAATAGCCTAAAAATTAGCCTTAAGCTTGGAGGAACTTCTTTGTGAATGTTTTCTTTAGCAGAGAGAAGCAGTAACTTCATTATAGCAGTGAGAGGGGATAGGGTGATACGGACTACAAAAACCAATTAATTAAAAAGTTTTAAAAATTAAAACCATCACCATAAATCACAGTCTAAGAGTGACCTCTTCTTCCAACAATGTACCCACGCTGATGGAATACGAAAACCCAAGCCTCTACAGAGATGCAATCACAGCAAGCCTTCCAGGGTCTGTGAGGACGCCTGGACATGACTGGAGCTGGTCGATTTCCTGAGTTTCTTTGTATTTTAAACAAAGTTCTGATTCGCTCAGTCTTTCCGTTCATTTAAAATCCGATTTTTTTTTTTTTGTATTGTGGAAATAGCAGACGCTGACAGAGAAAAACTGTGTGATGCAGAAGTAAATTCCCTTTGAAATGTTGAGTGTGGGATTGGACAGTGAACTTTCAAGCAGAATAGGGCGAAATGATGGAGCACTAATGATGCGAACATAGAAATGTGTTGATACACAGCTACAACTACAAATTTGATGTTAATGATGTGGAAGCAGTAAGGCTGGCTAAGACTTAAAAAGTGAATGAAATTAAAGACCACCAAAGGCAAAGGAGATAGGAACTTCCTGGTTGTGTTTACAGGATTTTGTTCAATTCATGAGCACACTCGGGCTCTTTTTTTTTCCTTTCTTTTCTTTCTGGAGACATATGCTCAATGGCCAATACCTCAACAGAGTTTTGCTCCTGTGGAAAGTACATACATGGGAAATATTGTTTTCCCGTGATCAGAAAGTTTAAGTTGGTTTAAATACTGCCGA